CAGTAATTGGTACAAAGAAGAGCCTATTAATTGTTTCCAATTATGCGACTTTACGGAGGCAAACAATCATTTCATTCGCAACTTAAATATCAAGGGGACTTTCCAGATGAATTTAGTAGCCGCCGACGAGGCTTGCAAAGTTCCAGCAATTGCCCTTTTTTTCAAGCCCCAGTCGAAGCTGACTTTATGATGAGTCCCTAGTCCATACAGAAAAAGGAAATGGTTTGTACGTGTCCATGCATGAGCGTCGACTTGAGTCAAACACATGTTCGTCTTAGTAGTGTCTACAATCTGAAAGCTTGCCCAAAGAAATGAAGTGTTAGAATTTAAAGCGTGCATGTTGACATCATAGGAATCGAACTGAATCCATTAGTTTCGTTGTCTTCTCTAGAAGGCGCACAAACCATGATCACAGTAAGGTAAAAGTTATGTATATACTGTAGGTCATGATTATCACAAAATTCAATCCATGTTTATTTATATTCTCTGGTAGTCAGAGGAGAAAAATTAACACTGACGATATAATTAGATGAACTAGCCGGGCAACAGTCGCGCCAATTAGCTGCTAAGTACTAGATAAGAATTCATTAGAGTTTTTCTAAAATGTAGCTGACCGTCCTTATAAGTAACTGGCTTTATGGTTTGCGAGGAATCCTACCATATGCTCTTTTCGCGTGACGCTCCTATACCTTCACTTCAACAAGCGAGTCTACGTTACGCAAATCTATCCAATAGCAGGAAAATCATTACGTGGAGATAATAGAAATGCCCCACGTATCCTACTATTAACGAGCAACTTCCTAATTTCCATGTATCATGCCAACGTAGAGTGTCGGAACAAGAATTAAGATGTTGAACATCTGAGACGTGAGGGCAGTATAAGTGCCTTTGAAAATCTCTCTCTTTCCTCTCCTCGGCCGGGTTGTCTTCTTCAATCGGTAAAAGACGTAAAACCGGCAAACGCGGGTGAGGTTGACCTTGAACTATACGCCTACTTAGGATTCGGGATAAATTCCCCGTGCGTGTGAGACACGGATTTGCGTGTATAATAGACAACATGCCACAATCGTTGAATAAATAGGTCTTTTTGTGTCCTTTGTTTTTGGACTTGACGGTCACCAGAAGGAATTCAAGACTTGCCCTTACGCTAAACATCGCTGCAAACCTAAACGCGCCATTAACTATTCGTATGTCGCGTAAACGAGGCCTTGCTTGAAATCTTGCACGTCATCTGGCTCCTTTAACCGGGATGAATCACGTTAATTCGCTGCAATACTAGATCTTCTCAGGACTCGCGGTAATGCATGTGTTACTAAATGATTAGATTATGCGTCGGAGATGGCAGTATCGTTCTGCGAATTCAAACGAGCATCACATGAGCCGGTAGGCATTCCTGGGCAATAACATTTTAACTAGCAGTTACCTTCATAAGACTAGCACATTAGGAAAACATAATGGAAATTCGTTATCTAGTACTACAGCATTGAGATTGTGCCTGGACTTCTTCATAATTTATATATTCCGGTCATAATATTCTTCTTTGAACTACGCTAGCGAAAATTAAAAAATAAACATGGATTTAATTTTGTGAAATAAGACTAAAACGGACCTTGCGCACAACTATACAAATAACATGTTCTTACTCTGGTTACTGTCTGAATGGTGTTTATTAGCCATGCACTAGACTGTTGATTTTATGGAGCCAACACATAATGCTTCACTCAGGCGTCGTTCAATACCTGAGGTTTGATGTGTTACGTCAACTCATAGCATCTTCAACTCGATCTGTATTACTTCCCGTTTGCATCACTTGTAGAATGTCGGGCTACATCGAACATTGTTGACAACATCGACGGGTCCATCATTGAGGCACTCATTGCGGCGTATACATGTCTAACAACTAACCTTCTATCGTCATACTGCTTCCGCATAAGTCAGCTTCACTCGGTGCTCCTTGAAAAACAAAACGCAAGTTCTACTTTTGCCACCTCCTGTGGCACAACCTAAAATGGTTATGAAAACAAAAAACACCTGAAAGTAACAACCAAACTATAGATATTACAACAAAAATAATAAGAAATGCAAGATGAAAATTGCTAATAAACCCATAACTAAAAGTCCAGTAATTGCCACAATATAGCTCTTCCTTCCTATTACTTGGAGAAATTCATAAAAAATAAACATAAGTGGTCTGGCGAATCAAGTCTTCGACTAACCAATTCAAATCATTACCAAACCTAAACACCAAGTCTATACATTGGCATTTTCTTATTGTATACGATCATAATTCAACATACGCGCATTCAATATGCAATTCTCTATGTTATCTATACAATATAAATAATGAGCAAATATCAAAATTACCTAAATTATTCAAAAGGACACAGATTTGTCTACAAATTTCTATAGAAATGAGGAACAAAATGAATTTTTGCATTATTGTGAATCAAATGTACTAGGAAAAATTATACGATCCTAACGAGACGTTGACAGTTGCTTAGGCTTTCATAGCACTTTTTAAGATAAGCTGATCCTATGGCCACTGTTTCCAAACCTCTCACTATGACAATTATGATTGGTAAAATCACAAATAGGCCTATGAGCATTACCTGTGCGCTTTTATTCCTCATATGAAAATAGTAGCTCAACTGATAAAGGTTTTCCTCATTAAAAATGTAGAGCATGGCTTGCAACAAATCAAGAAATCAAGGATGGATCGACAAACAAACTATAAATAATCAAAAAGGTAATACACACTAAAAATAAAAATGAATCAATCGAGTAACACGTATGATAATGCAAAGAGAAAACGAACATGGAGATACATCACGCGAAAGACCAAAAACAAGTAAGGTGCCCATGAACCATCGTAAGGAAAAGGAATTAAAATAGTACATAAACTACAGAAGAGAGAATACAAAATAATAATGAGAAAGACAACGAAACAAAACAGCAAGATTTTCAAACAAAAAAGAGAAGAGAAAAGAGAAAAATATAAATAGACAGAAACAAAAAAAGCAGAGAAGAGAAGGAAGACACAGAATAACATTGAAGAAGGATGAACAAAGAGCCAACCAACAAATTAACACAAAACACACAAATGAAAAAAACGAGAAGAGTTAGAATAGAAGGCAACACGTGTATTAAGGTGCTAAAAAGAAAAGCACAACGCAAACAATAATATAGACAAATCAGTGAAATTGGTATTATAGGGTATATTTAGCATGGTCAGAGACTTAATTGGAAATAAGTCAAAACATGGACAATAAGCATATTTATACAGCTAAATTTGATAATGAAGGAGTTGCTCATGTAAACTTTTATCAATATATTCAACTCTTCACATGCTAATATCTATTGTTTAATTCCTCTATTACCAACTTATTATCTACTGTTTCATTGATGTAGGATAAAAAACAACTATTGTCGCAGAACACTAGTTATGTTGGAGTTTTCTCCTGATGCTCTTATTTATCATTCGTATGTATCAGACGTATCTAGGGATCTAGGGATCCAAATCTTCATATTCAATTTCATTTACAAGTAAAAAATAAGAAATAATTAAAATTTAGGAAATAACAATAATTTCAGATAAATTATAATTTACTTACTTAGTAGCCTTAGACGTCGATTGGGAAGAACCCCTCGATCTCCTTCTGCTTGACATCTTCGACAACCTATTGACAAATATTTCAAAAAGTACAATATAATTATGAATATCCCAGCGATAGGTTGGAATTCCTTTATAAATAATGATTTCAACACCAAGCTATCATAGGTGATAAACCTTAGATGTTTGAGAGATTACAGTGATATAAGTACATTCTTATCTTTCGGGCCCTTTCAACAATTTATACGTGCAAGTTGCATGTGATCAAAACTACAACAAGGGGCTTAATTTCAAAAGAAAGTGTTTTTCTTTTGGAACTTTAATTAGGTTAGCCAAACAATGGATAAATTGTTAGTACTCACCGATGTAAATAAGAGTGAAGATACTAAACGAACTTTCAATGTGCGCAACAATACAGTCCCACGATGACCTAAATTATACCAAACATCAACATAATTAGGTCAAGAGATCATCCATTTCCATAAATTAATTTAAAAAAAGAGCTTAATCACAACTGCAGGAAACCCTTTCTTTCGATCTCTCCCAACTCCAATATCTCTCGCTACAGACAAAACCGATTAATCCAAGCCCTAACTCTCTTCGTCGCCTTCTGTACAACCTCATTCGAAATATGAAAACACTCAGTGATATGAGGAACTTGTGATGAAATTCGATGATCTAGGGGCTTAATTTCAAGTATTAGAGAGGAAAAGGGGAAGATTAGTGTGTTACCCGCTTTCAGACCCGTGCAGCCGCCGTCCGTCGTCGCTCCAAATATCCTCCGCTTTCAGACCCGTGCAGCCGCCGTACGTCGTCGCTCACCGTCGGTGTTCCTCAACCAAAGATCTCGCCGAAACCCTAGTCTCTCCTGGATTCTTTGAGAACGTGAAACGGAAGAGAAACGAAACAGAGAGAGGAGATGAGTTAAATTTGGGAATTTGGGAATTAAGGGTAGTTTAGGAATTTTTAATTTATTGGGTAAATACAGTATAAAAAATGGGTGTATTATACATGTTGGGTTTAAAAATAAGTGAGATGAGATACAGTGGATCTATTGGTGTTTGTAAAAGTAAGTGGGTTTTTAAATAATTGGGGGTAAAACTTTGGGTTAGAAGAGATTTTTCCCTTAAAATTAACATGTTAGTACCCTCAATTACGTACGCATGAAAATTCACACTTCCACACGGATGTCCCTCCATGATGCTTACAAATTAAGCATTGACATTTATTAAATATACTATTAAACCTACCAAAATATTATTTTAAATTTAATTATCTTAATTTTACTAACAATAAATTTGGTATATATTAATGGCTAGAAAATTCTATAATCAGCCTGCATGTATCCTAAAAAGAACAAACGTACAAATTTTGAGCTAACTTTAAATTAAAAAAAAAAGAAAAAAAAAGAAATATAAGTAGATAATAAGTGCAAAGTACTCGAACTCATGAGATGTTTGAGTTGATGTAGCCGTTAAAAAATTGTCGTTCTCTTCCCTCCACACGCCACAGTGTACTCTGTAGCCGTCACACCACTGACCTACGCTCACGCCCCGAGCAAATTTTAAAATTACAAAAAGCCCCTCGTTTCTCGAGACCTCATCCTCTTCGCCAAAACAAGAAGACCGCTCTCTTCCTCCTCTTCCCTCTGTCTCCTTAAAAACCCCGCATTTGCTGCTCTCTGCAAATTAAAGCTAGAAAATTACAGGGCCTTTTCTACAAATAGAAGAGCAGAGGAAAGAAAGCCCAGGTACTCACACTTTCCTTCCTCTCTCTCTCTCTCTCTCTCTCTCTTTTCCCCATCAACTCTCATAAATCTTGAAGGAGGGTTTGCGCCATCTCGTGAGTATTAGTTAATTGCCATGATTCGATACATCAGTGCAAATTAATGTATTTAATGAGGGGGCTTTTTGGATTTGGGCGGACCCCAGATAGGGGACCCAAGGGGGAGACAGGTGAAATGTCCCCTTCCGGTTGGATGATGCACTGTTTATGAATTGAATATGATACACTATTCATGCTCACCCTCGGGACAGCTCACCTGTCCCTCTTAGGTCCCTACTGGGATCCCCATGGCATTAATCTTTGGATTTTTCCTCAGACATTCGCCTTTTGGGGTTTTGGCCTCGAAGCTCGGTTTGAAGGGGCTGGGCCATCTCTGAATTCCCAAAGTGCCCCCAGTGAGGGGCATTTCGGGAATGTTGTCTTGGGTGACGTGTCGATGGTCCCGTTGTCACATGGAGGAGAACAGCAGCAGCAGCCTCCTCTGATCACTGCATTCAGCACTCGGGCCACGGTCCTTTTCAAAACTACTGAGAGAAGAAATTAGATGTGTTTTTGCATGGAGGTCCTTTTTTTCAATTTTTCAATTCAAGTACTACAAGTTTAGAAAAATCCCTTTATTAGTGAACATAAAACCAATTGCGAATAACCTCATCAGAGCAATGGTTAGTTTTTTTTTTGGTGTGTCGCTGATGCCGCACATTCAATTTGGTATATATTAATGGCTAAATGACATTTTTTTATCTAAAATTCACGGGACTAATCATGAATGTGCCTTTTTTTTTTGCATTCGATCGAAAATCAAGACTACTATAGAGGTACGTATTACTTGTTCCATAATTTGTTTATGATTTTAGATTTAAAATTAGTTTATCTGGTAATGTTGTTGTTCTTTTGTTATTCCATAAATGCTAGTATTAAGCACGCACTTTGTTGCGAGTATTGAGTATTATTTACTGAGGTATATCTATCGCCAATTTGATAACATAATTTTTATATATAACTATTTATAAAAATTTCTACTACATTTTTACTATTATTTATAGAGTAATTTTTCGAATCAGTTAACAAAATAATACACAAATTAGCAAGTTTTATTAATTTTATATAATACATACAGAAAATATTTTATATTTGTGAAATGTCTGGTAAATGTTAAATTAATCATTTACAAGAACAAAAAGAAAAATATATAAACACTGTTTTCAATGTTAAAAAAATGTTATTCAGCTTGAACAATGGATAAATGACCAAAATTTTTATTGTAACATGTAGAGCATGTTTAATATTCCAAATTACACTATACATGAATAGCATTTATGAGAAAAAAAAATCATTACAACCTGAGCAGCATGCTATTTTACTATAGTATGAATATCAATTTTAATATTATGAAGCATATTATAGTAAGAATGGTGTTTACTATAGTATGAATGGAAATTTTAAGGTTTTAAGTTAGAAGTAATAGATTGTGGGATCTAAGTATCTAACCAAGCCAAAATCTCGACTCTAAACACTCTCATATATAGTTTCCAACGCTTTGAAAAGCAATTTACACCTAAAGTATTTATTATTAAAAAGGCATACATATTCTTGAGTAGGGGTGGAAATGAACCGAATCGAATCAAATACTGTGGTGTTCAGATTTGTATTTGGTTAGTTTTCACGAATTCAAATTCGAATTCAAGTTTTGTGTCGAATAAGAAAAGAATGTTCAAATTTGGTTCGTTAATTAGATGAATATTTGTTAAATATTCACAAATATCTCACTAGCACGCTTGTATGGTACAAAGATTATTGAGCATGCGATCTTCAGCTCGAACCTAAGTCGTTTCTTATTTATTTTTTATAACGTTTTACTTGATATTTCCCTGTAAGAATTATTATATTGTATGCTTATAAATTATTAATATAATATTTATAAATAGCAATATTTATAGTACTATGCATACATAAAAGATAATACAATGTAGTAATATAGAAGTATAAAACGAAAATTTAATAATCAAATGAATTGAATATACATCTGGTCAAATTCTCTTCATTTATTAACCAGATACTGAACAATATTCATTTATTATCAAATAAACTACTGAATTGAACATGACCGAATATCTGAACGAATAATCACTGAACTGTTTATTAATTATTTGATTCATTTCCACCCCTATTCTTGAGCACAGAGAATGAAAAAGGTAAGGAAAGAGGGAGAGAGAGGAAGAGAGGAGAGAGAGAGAGAGTATTTTTTTTCTCCACATGAATACCCACCACTGAATACTTAGGGGGTTATTGGCTGGGACAAATTGGGGCAAAGTTGTAAAATTATTCCAATGGAACAATTTTATCTATTTGGGATATTTTGAGTGGGGTAAAGTGTGATAAATGAGATAATAAGACAATTTGAGCATTTGATTTGATAATTCATGTTGGATAATTAATGATGTGACACCTTATTAAAATATAATTTATCTATTAATTACTTCTAAATTAACTTACCCAATTGGTTTAGTATATTATTATAATATAAATATTATTTTACTTTAAATAAAAATATTAAAATGTTGTACTATAATTACTAATTAATATTATTAATTATTATATTATATTATATTAGCATGCTATACTATATAATAATTAATATAATATAAGATCAATATATTTAATATAATATTTAATATAATATATTATTTTATTTATAAAAAATATAATATGTTATATTATAATTACTAATTAATATTATTAATTATTATATTATATTACATTATATTAGTATGTTACATTATATAATAATTGATATAATATATGAACAATATATTTAATATAATACTTTAATAATATATTATTTAATTTAATATATTATAATATAGTATCATAGGATATAATGTACTGTATAAAATATTATAATATTTTACTTTATTCAATGTAATATTTTTTAAAATATTATATTATAATTAAAAATTATATTATATATATATATATATATATATTATTATATATATATTGTATATATATATATATATATATTATATATATATATATATATATATATAAATGATAATTACAATAATATATATTAAAAGGTATTCACTGTTATATGTATAATATATTATATTATTTCAAAACTATAGAATTAATATTATATCATATCATAATATTTTATTAATATTAGTAATTATTATATTGTATTATAATAGTATGTCATATATATAATAACTGATATATATATATAAACAATGTATTTAATATAATATCTAATTTAATATGTTAAGACGCAGAGTCATAGGTTAAATATTTAGCCACATAAAATATTATAATAATATTTATTTAATATAATATTATTTAAAATACTATAGTTGTAATAAAATATATAGGTATAATATTATATGATAATTACTATGGTGTATAAAAAATATCTAAAATGTATTATATTATAGTAAATAATAAATTTATTGTATTAATATAAATATATATCACATAACATGATTTATATTATATTATATTTTATAATTAAATGTAATATACTAACATATTTATTAATTTTAATATGTTAAATTATATTTATACTAATATTATTATATTGGTTTAATATAATACACTATAATATAATTGTACAATAAATATCAACTACAATTAATTAGATATATTATATAATAATATATGTTATTAAAATATTATATAATATTATAATAAATATGTTGTACTATTATATAATATAATATGTGATATTGCATAATAATATATAATAAATATCATAAAATAAATTATACATATAAATTAAACTATATTAATATTTTATTTTATTACATGATAATATAATATAATATACTCAATATATTATTAATTTATATTTTATATATCATGTCATATATTTATAATATAATTAGCATGTATTAGTTAAGTAATACAAAAATGCTTGAAAATTATCTCAATTGCCTTCAAAGTGGAATAAAATTGTTCAAATATGAAGGATGATGTAAATTTTTACTATTGAGACAGTTTTTGTATGAGTGAGGTAATTTTATCCGAAGTGGTGAAATTGTCTCACTATTGCTCCAAAAAAACCAAAAACACAAAAATATAATATTATTGTTCCATTGTCCTAATGAATAACACTATGAAATATAATCCCCAAAATTATTCCATTATCCCCTCAAATGTCCAATAAATAACCTCCACTTGCTAAAGAAAAATTCCACAAGGACCCAAAATATAGGACCAATAATGAGAAAATGTGAGGTGTCCCCCTCCTATTGCATAATGAATTGATCATCATTAATGATGGTCAGCTTATTATGCAATAAGAGGGGGACATCTCACTTGTATTCTTTGTTGGTCCCGTATTTTGGGTCCCTATAGCAAAGCTCATTGCTAAAATCCAGGGGATTAGCATTTCCAATTTTCCAAACTACCCCTCATAAATGCTGCCACCAACCCCCTTCACTGAAAGGGCATGACAGTCATTCCAATTCTCACCATTCTCTCTGTTTCCAATCCCAGGTATTTCAACTGAGAGAAAGCAGCAGGAGAAAGGTGGGGAAAAAAAATAAAGAAAGAAGCCTCCCTCATTATTATCTGCAGTCTATGTAGTACATTTTCTGTACATTCAACAGGGGAGAGATGGTGCAAAAATTTATTAAGGAGATCGAGTGTTTAATTAAGCTCAACCGCTAAAGCCCTTCTTATATTTCTCATTGAGGAGGGGAGGAAAAGCTGGTGAAGAGGCAGAGCAAGAGATAGCAAGACCTCTCAAGATGAGGAAGAAGAGGAAGAAGAAGTCTTAAAAGGGTGGTTCTTGTTAATGTTGTTTTAAGTTTGATATTGGCACTATAGGCTCAATCACTGGTCCATTCTCTTCTTGCTCTTTTTTTTTTCACACTTTTTTTTTTGGGTAGAATATTTTACTTTTTCTGTGTGTGTGGGTAGCTTGTATCCTCTCTCTGTTGTTTTTTGGTCGTAATTTTATGCCCACAAAAAGTTTGGATATTGTGTGTTATTTGTATCTTTTTGTCTCTTGGCCTTTATGTTGTCTTGTGTAGATTTATCTCCTTCTCCAAGTGTTATCCTTTTGTCCCTTGGACATACATTCGCTTGGCTTCTTCTGCTTGGCCCTATCACTTTACTTATTCTCTTAAAAAATGAAAAAAGCTCTTGTTCTTATTTTTGTTATTGATAGAAAATCTTATAGAGGATTCTTTGTAGAAAATCATACATTAGTTCTGATTATATATACTGATATAACATTTGATATTTGTGCACATGAAATACTCTGATTCGACTGATACAAGTTTGATTGATATTGTATCATAAAAGTGATTTTTTGTTTTTAATTTAAATGCTTGAACAAATTCTCTTCTTTTTTTTCTAGTTCAACAACCCCATTTTTTTCAGAGTAGTCAGTGATCTTTTGTTCAACCATTTAAAAAAAAAAAATCAGTACTGTAATACAATATCAATTAAATTTGTATCAGTCCAATCATAGTATTATGATACGATGGCTTGGGCTTGGAGCTATCTCTTTGCTTACTCTCTTTAAAAAAAAAAAGCTCATGTTTTAATTTTATTTTTGAAAGAAAATTTTATACAGGATCCTTTGTAGAAAATGAAAATCATACATTAGGGTGTGTTTTGCAATTTTTTAAAGCTGGGTCAGGTTTGAACTTGAACCTGGTCCGGTTTTGAAAGATTTTTTGTTTGGCAAATAAGAGGGTCAGCAGATCTGGCCCTGTTTTTATTGTCCAAAATATGATCTCTAAACCGGTTTTCTTTTAGGCCAAGTGGGTTAGTACAAAAGAAAATTGGTTTAGTACTTAACTAAACCAAGATCAGTCCGGATCTAGTTTTGCATACACTTAGCCTGATTATGTATATTGATACAATATTGAGATTTGTGCTAATGATATATACTCCGATTAGACTGATACAAACTTGATTGATGTTGTACTACAATACTGATTTTTTTATTTTTCATTTCAATGCTTGAACAAAAGAATGAGTACTCCAGAAGAGCAGGGTTGTTGTATGCATGTTAGGTTTTTGGTGATGGCTTCTAACAAAAGGAGGTCAAATATGATGCATTGTAGTTGATGTGCATAGCTATAGCTAGCTTGTTTGTTTTCACTAGTCTGTATGACTTTGACTATGCCTAGGCTAGAGAGAGAGAGAGAGAGAGAGAGAGAGAGAGAGGACTATTTGGTGATGTGAAGCTCCAAATAGATCGATGCAAGCTGGCTTCTCAAATAGGGTTATGAAATATTATTGTGTTTCATTCACACAAGCATGAAGCTTATTGGTGGTCAATAAATGAGACATGCGACGGAAATATAGGGACCATGAAAAAGGGACACGGTAATAGATTGAGTTGAATCATACGGTCAGATCATTTAGGCCCACCCCCCCGCCCCCCCCCTCCGACACACACACACACTGGCAGGGCCTCACTCAACTTTTAAGATAGAACATTAAATTGTTTTATTTTTTGGCGATAGGTTAAATGAGAAGTCAAGGAAAATTTAACTCCTCTATTTTTCAAAGAATGGTTATAGTTCTTATTGTTCTCAAAATGCAACAAATGAACTGACCTAGCGGATTAAATTTTTTTAACTTTTATTAGATTAACAAATACGCCAATTATATATTAACCGTTCTTCTTAATCTCTCCTCTTTGACCTGAGAGAGTAAATAACAATTCCATAGCCAAAAAGCGCCAAGTGCGTAACAACGATTTCATAGCCAAAATAGTGTCTCAATAAGTAATCCAGATTCCAGACCAACAATATCCAATTAAAACGCTTATAATTAAATAGTGTTATGTTTATGCTAATGACTCGAAAATGCTTAGCCTACGCGAGACTAAATCAGTCTTAGCGGCGGCCTCATTTTTATCCTTTATTCGATAGAACCCATAATCGGCATCGTATTAATATAATGGTTAAATTGTGATTAAGGAATGGCATGATAAGTCTTAATTAGCGGCCGTTGCCGCAGTTTCCCGACTTCCTCTTTGGATCGTGTTTGCAGTTTGCTCCTCCAGCGTCGTAGTCAAGCGTGACTTCCACCATAACCTTTCTGGGTCCCACCTGATAAATATCAGGAAAGCATAAGTTCATAAATAAAAGTTAAGAATCACTGTAGAAGTCCTGGTCCTGATTCCAACCCTAGAGAGTAAAAGATTATTAGCTTCGGCTGGATAGCTCCCTCTAAATAGTTTTGACCTAAATGAAACCTGTTTAAGGGTAAAATTGGCCTAATGAAACCAATTTAAGCTTTGGTCCATTTTTTTTGCAAACTATGAACGACACTTTTTGGGTGCGTTTGGCAATCAATCATCCAAAACTATCCTGACTCATTTCTACTCCGAACCATTTCAAATTTAAACCAAGAAGTGGTTGTCTAACATTAGACTGGTTTTATGACATCTTTTTGGGCTAAGAAGAATTCGGCTTAATTTTTGCCGATGAAAAACAAATCCAAAACTAGGTGAGGTTCAGTCATGACTTAGCTTTAGAGTTTGTCAAACACACCCTAAACTGGGTTTTGTTCTGCCAAATCAATTTAACTTTGAGTAGCAAAACAAGCCCTTAGACACTTAACAAGGCAACTATCTTGATCTAATAACATCCTCTTGCAAGTTTCGGTTGAGTTTTTGTTTGCACAAACTCATAGCTGTGCGCAATACCTTGCTTAAAGGATGTTGTGCAGGTTTGATCCTCTCCTCCATGCTTCCATCTTGGCCTGTAAAGCGCGGGAAAATTATCTGTTAGTCCCTCTAAATTTTGCAAGAAATATAAATGTGGAGCGGATAGCTAACCCGACAAAGATATACCTAGTGACATTTCAGGGAGAAGGATCAGGAGGATGAAGATGAAGACATGAATGGGCCTCGGCATGATTAAGTATTAATGCTTACGCTTTTTTTGTAGAAGCCTGTGTTGCATTGAGAAGGAATGCATTTGCCTCATTTTATAGTGGATGAGGAAAAGCTAGGAAAGCCAATGAAAGTTTTTAGCATGTACGTAGTCCATGGAAACATCATTACGTTGTACAAAAAAACAGTGATACCCATTAGCTGATCACCTTCACAAAAAGTCAACTGCACTACCTTGGAAAATTTTCAAAATCACTCACTATGATCTTCCAATCAGCACAAAATGATTGATAGCATCGCTGAGTTGTGGTCCATAAGCAGAGATGTACTAGTTAAGCTAAGATGCATGTGCCCAAATTGACTTTGATTAACAACATCCGGGTCATGAGTCCAAACATATTTTACCATGAATTCGGATAATTGTTTGCAACATGGGAAAGAGAGATCTCTTCTGAATCTAACATATCTCTTGTCGTTTATATCGTTCAGTTATCAACAAAGAGGACTTTGTTGGGATTGTGTCTTTGATTCTTTGCAGAACTTCATAAAAATTAGATAGGGTTAGAAATCTATCATGATTAGGAGTTTGGGTTCCATCATGATTAGGAGTTTGAATCCTATTCTAATTAGGAAGTTAGGCTAGAGATAGAGTTTTGGTTTCCCTGTATATATTCTTCTATTGTTGGAGGAAAAACTAAGAAGAAAAAGAGAGTAGAGAGAAGATGTAGTTGAGAGAGAGAGAGAGCCATTTGGAGAGAATATGAGAGTTGATTATGTATGTGAGGTTGAGAGATTGAGAGACGAGAGTTGAATGGTTCCTCTTGTAGTTCTCCCTGATACATAGTGAATTTCTCGTATTGTTGCCCCGTGGACGTAGGTCGAAGTTGGTCGACCGAACCACATAAATATCGGTGTTCTTTTTTTCTTGATTGTGGTTGTTTTATATCTTGTTGATTTTAGGTTGGCTTCGGAGTTGCGCATATTGTAGTAAATTCCCCAACAAAATTTCCTCTAATTTAATAGATAGGAAGCGTTCCTAACAAACAAACAGCTATAATAAGGGTATCTAGCCCGCAAATATCCAAAAGTTAATCTCCGAGTCGTTGCACTTATTTGAGATGCATGGAACCTTAAAGAAGATTATCTCTGCGCTTATGAGGTTTTTTTTTTCTCCTTATGAAATTTAGGGTCAATGTGTGAGGATTGCAAAGGGGAATTTGAAAGTGAAATTACTGTAGTATGACCAAGCTGAACCAGACAAAGT